CAGGATCTGTAATGCTTACTGTCCTTACCAAGACCTACTCTCTAATCAGTCGAGCTTCAAGACCTTCTCCTTAACCGGTAATGCCAAGTCGTTCGTCTGGAGCTATAGCTCTTTATTCATCCCCATGCAAGTCTCTAATAGGAGAAGTGGATGAATCCTTCTTTATGGAGGCTGACCCAGGAGCTGTACAATCAATCAGCACGAGAAAAGGAGTAGAAACTGGGTCTTCAAAAGTCCCCGAAGATCTGTCTGAGGCAGCGGGAAGAGTTCCCAAGCGGGTCCAAGTCTGCTGTTGAATGGCTGATTGAAGAGCCAGCTCTATCTAAATGATTCTTTCCCGGCATTATGAATAAAAGGAATCACTCTTCCCTGTCCTAGGTGTGGACGAAGACTTCTCTAAGATCCGATTCGATGGCTCTGACAAGACCTCTTATATTGTTCTTAGCCTCACTCTTGATGAACTTGAATTGAAGACTTCAGCTTACTACTTGGATTTTCTCTTACTGTTTCTTGCTACTGCTTTGTTCCTGTACCACTTCCGCTTTCCTCACTTTTCGTATCACGGTACCTCTAATCCCCCTTTACGTGAAAACAATAACTTTAGAATACCGACTATCACAGGACGGGTTCAAAACTTGTAGGAAATGCAACCATCCATGGAGAGCCGCTTAAACTAGTCATCCCGGTAACACGAGCCTTGGTTGGAGAATCCATACCACTTACTTGGAACAAAAGGATTCGACGGAACTAATAAGAGGAACAGCTTTCTTTGCTTCCGTGGTTGGACTTGGCTTGCTACTTCTCAAGGCTCGGTATTCGTAAATGGCGAGATTCTTACCCACACCTGTTCGAGAATCCAATCGGTAAGTTGAGGTTTCCGTCCAATCAATCGGTCAACTGATTTAGGGCTGGCATTCACAAGTCCTTATCTAATTTACTTTCGAAAGAAAGTTCAGAATACTAGCCGTCACTTGAATCTATCTCCTTCCCAGAAGGCTAGGCTAGGCAAGTGCTCTTGCTTATCCCCTTAGTCGTGGGTAACCCTCAGTAGTCTAGTCTGATTCTATTCTAGCGGTAGTAAATGGCCGAATCCGTCTGCCCCTTTCTTTTATTCGTAGGCAAGTAAGGAACTGGCCTTAAATTGTATCGAGCTACAGGCCTTTCTCATAAGATGTTGTAAGCTACGGGCCATAAAATATCCGACGAAGCTTAAAGCAGACATCAAGAGCTAAAAAGGAGGCCAACAAGTGAATTACAGGTCGAGCTGACATAGGCGGAAATTGGAAGCCTTTTGGGCTGGGTCATAAGGACCGAGAGTTATTTCAGATTGGTGGTCAGTAGAGTTTCAATTCATCTATCGAATTTGTTGTCCAACGTTGCTAAATGCATGAATGAATGGTGCCCACCTGGAGTATACAATTTTTACCGGGAAATGAAAGAAAAGGATATTTTTTTGTTCAGATAGAGATGACAGCTCTGTCTATGCTATGCGCATACTGACTTGCTGGATGTGGAACTGGAATTCATCCTCAACTGGATCAGACCAATATGCTAAGCACAGCCAACTCTTGTTCTCTAAGAAAAAGAAGTGCTCAGACAAGGCACTCACCGAGTGCTGATGCTCTCATGCTGGATTTCGCTTCTTTCTAAGAGCCGGAGACAAAAGTCTGGCCGGCTAGTCTCTTTCTGGGCTGACCCTCCTGACTCATGATTGTCAAAGATCATGTCGAGTGCGAGCTGGGGTTGAAGGCCCAAGGTTCTTGGTTTTGGAATGAATGGGATTAGACTTGGCCAGCGCGAGGAAAATCCTTCTAGCACTTTGAGCGACTCTGGATCTGGCATCAATAGCTGATCCTGTCTGATCAGAGCACCGGTTCCGGCATCGGGAGTGGATTCGATAAGAGTCATAGCGGAGTCAAGAACTAGCAGCTACTGTTGGAAGATGGAATTGCTTTACTTCGCCAACTCTTCTTTCAGAACCTCGACCTAAAGTAGCTCTAAGAAGAAGTCGGGGAGGCCCCTCTAAGGTCAGCTCTTGCTCTTGGCGTGTGAGCAAAGATTCTAGGTGCAAAAGGATAGGTGGCAGCGATATGCCAAAGAGGCTAAGTCGCAGCTTTATGGCTAAGTCTGTCTTTGTATTAGCCTGATGTTCAGATGCTTTCTCGCTGTCCGATGGTTGCTCGCTGGCATGGGTCGTTGCCAAAGATTTTTCATCGCTAAACCCTTGAGCCCCGGAGGCCTTTACCGGAGAAATAGTAGTGAGAGGATCCTACTTTACTGATTCAAAGGCTACGCACCTCTTAGAGGATTGATTCTCACTTCCTTATCACAGTCTATAGCCTTCGGCCTTGCTTTTCATAGCCTTCTATACCAGGAAAGATCAGCAGTCTAGCCCATGTCTTCCTTCTCCGCTCACTAGGAGTTTGAAAGCTTCAGTCAACACAGTACTAGGCGTACTAGAATGGATAGCACAGGTCGGAGGTGAAGCTTCTACTTATACCTGTCATTCCTAACTCCGTGATGGTTAGTAATCAATCGTCTCTTTTCAATATCCGGTTATCCGGTAAAGAAAGCAGGAAAGGGCTTCATGGTAGATTTTTTTTATAGTAGAGTTTTTTGGGGTCTATCTTTTATCCTTATTGATTTCATGGGATTTGGTTTTAAGAGTCTTCTTCATACCCAGGAAAGTCCGATCGTAGAATAGCGGGTGATTGGAGAATAGTATGGGTCAGTCACTCCTCTATTCATTCGTTCATGCTAATGATACCATTAGCTGTCCATTCATTCAATTCACATCGGTACAGGGAAAGGCGAGGCACTATCCTGCGCTCGGGACAAGGTTGGTAAGTATACCTGGCTCAGCTATTATAGTTAGAGTACGGCTAACTTACCACCAAATCAATCGAAGAATTCCTCATCCTTTTTATTTATATCAAAACGAAATCCTATGCTGCTTGAGGAATGGGACAGTCACAGACTCGCTTATTCTTCCTTTTCTTCTCCAGTAGCATCTTCTTCATCTGCTTATGTGTCTGCCGGCTGTTCTATATCTTGATTCTGTTTTAGACCAATAGGACCTTGTTTCAAAGCTAGCCTATATACCTCCCCGAGGAGGAACGAAAGGTAGGAATTTCATCTAGTTGCATTCCATCGAAACAGTAGGACGTATGGCTCCTCTTTCCTGCTTCCGGGCAAGGCAAGGAGGAGAGATGCTGAACGGAATTACATTTCTTAATTTAATCTTGGGTGAATGCTCCCAATCAGCCGGTACCAATCGAATAGTAGAATAGTCAAAGTCAGAGGGAGCTCCTCAGTTCCGTCAGTCAGTGAACGGTTGAGGGAATTTTTCTAATACCAGAGGAGAGTAGTTCCCCAGCGACTCTAGTATAGTGGTCAGACTGACCTCTAAAGGACATAGTTAGTTTTTCACATACACATACATATATAAGATGAATTAGGCTTCACTCGTGATAGTCAGCGATGGAAAGGATCTGCTTTCTTATGATAGAGTGTGAGTACACTGAAACTATGTTCTTCATCTTCTTGAGCTTGAACAATTAGAGTTTTCACTGCCCTTGCTTACTCGAAAGAAGTAGGTCTTTAGTCAGAATTGGTCTTTGAGCACAGTTTTCCCCTTTATCATATAAAAACTAGCCTGTCTGATGTTCACACCCGTTGATCTTCCTATGTTGAGAGCTATGATGTAAACCCTGCGTACCGATCTTTGACCTTCGGTCATATGACATGACTCCGACCGTGGAAGAATCTCAGACCCTGCTCAAGTTCCCTCTCTTGAGCTGTCATCCGCGTTAGCAGGTCGGGCTCTCTTCTATAAACGTATGCCAGCAGAACGGCTTCCTTAGGAAAAGTTGACAGCCAGTAGGCTTGATTTGATATAACAAACCCGCGAATTGCCTTATAACAAAGACAAAGATTTGTTCTCAAGGGACATTCATTTGCTAAAAGGAAAAAACATTGGAATTAGAGCTGCACTAGCTAATAAAAGAAAGAAAAAAGTGGCATCCATTCACCCGGAGGTAAAGGGAAGTAGCTAATAACTTAACACTGAACCAACTTGAATTGATATACCTTGGTTAGTCCTTGATTGGCTTAGTGTGAAGTGCGGGATATCGGTCTAGAATAATAGAATAGGTGTCTAGTTCGTGATACCTTGTGGCTTGAAATTCTGTGGATTGCAAAACTATGGCTTGGATACGCTTTTTGGGGGCTTTGCTTAACCGAAGCGAGTGATTCTTTCTCTTTTCTTGAATCGAAGTGGAAAGCTTTTTATTCGAGTTACGTTCTTTCTATCCGGAAGCTTGATAGACAGAGAAAGAAAAGAGAAGAGAAAGCGTTATGCTTAAGACATGCGAATCGGACTAAGGTTTCGATCATCAATCATGACATCCAATCTCCGCTCCGAACCTTACTAAGATTTCAGTAAAGTAAGCACAGATTCTCGATCCACATGAAGGAATAGTGTCCAATCCCGGCCGATGTAGAGTAGTCCTTTTTGGGCAACACTTCCTCGTAGGGAACTACCAAGCTCAAGCTCACTTGGCCGCATTGATTTCTTGTCATTCTCGGAGCCAAGACCTGACACTTAACACTACCCTTGCTTTGCTGTTCGAGCGAAGCCGAGTTCAGTAAGTGAGCTAAGAACGAGTTCCGAGTGAAGTTGCTACAGGAAGAGCATCAAAGCACAAGTTTCAGAGTAAGCTACAGCTAGCAAGGATAGGAAGCAAAGGAATTCATTACATTATGAGGGATCGAGGAATTTTCAATCATATGAGATTGACCTTTACTGCGAACAATAGAATGCATAGGACTCCTTCCACCACTACACGAAATACGGGAGAGACAGAGAGAGAAGGAAAAGAGTCCCCTAAAGCTAAAGGGGGCATGAAAGAAAGTAAGCCAAGTGCGTAATCAAGCTCATCCCCTCTCCTGCCGCTTAGAACCAATCTGTCCGAATCTAACCCATAGAACTCAAACTCAAAGGATTGGCATGAAGCTGTGGCATAAGAAACCTCTACCTTTGGATTTATTTAGAGGTCAGGAATCGAGTAAGTCCTTGAAGATTTTTTTTTCAAAAAACCGAATTTCATGTGTAAGCACCTTGCCTCTTTTGAGTCTGCGCAGCATGCTCCGAAACAGAAGAATCATTTGATTTGAAAAACCCGGATTCAGCTTCTTTCGAACTAGCAAATGCACTTTCTGAGCCAAAAACAGATCGGCTTGGCCCATTCCTCATCTGAGGAAGAAAGAGTACCTAGATCTGCATCTACTCATTTTCTGATCCGGTCTTTCCGGGCTTCTGCTCAAACTCTTTTTGACCCGACCGATTCAATCTCATATGAGGTAAGCAGGTCAAAGATAGGCTATGTCGACCCTTTCAAACAGTTTTTCCATACCATAAAGGATAAATCCACTTATGGCATTCACCCAAGCATACAGAGGAGAGCGCGATAAAGGAAGGTTGTTACTACGAAGCATACGAGTCCGCATCAGGTGAATTGAAAGGGAGATTCCTCTTTTACTTTAGGGGGTGGGCGGGAAATGGATAGCATAGATGGTTTTCTAATACCAATTAGGCCAAGATCTGAATCTTCCCTTCCTATGGCCGATAGATCGCTCTTCAAGTAAAAGACCATTCAGTGAAACATTACGCTTTCTAGCTTCAAAGAATGCTCTTAACAACGAAGCATATTCCAGTTCTCGGGATCAATAGAATAGACACAGAGGAACCTACCTGCCCTCCCACCACCCATTCTCAATGCGGCTTTTTCACTACTCTAGAGCCCTGCTCGAGTTATTTTTTAGCCCTTTTTATCCTGTTGTATCCAACAAAAATCATCTTATTGCTGGTCGGAACCATGCTGAGCAAGGGGTACCACATTCTATATACCCTGGTCATCCAACCAACCCACAGGTTTAGGTGCTAGCATTAAAGCAACAAAAGAGCTTTCTTTCTCAATTTAATTAGCCCCACACGAAGTAACTAGTGGCATACGAGTACCTTTATAGGAAGGTAAGCATGCCGAGAGAGCACTGAGACGAACAACCTAGCTAGGAAAAACCTGCCCGTGTCTACTTCTTTCAAACCTAAAAAGGGTAAGCGTATCAAGAGAAAATGAGCAAAGCAAGACCACCCCGCTGTCGTATCGAATCAAAGGCCCGTCCTCCCATCTCAGGATGCAAGCCTTGCGTGAGCCGAACATGGTGGGATCAGTCACATGTCCAGATTTCCTTTAGAAAGTCAAGGAGAGTGAGCTATTATTAGTCAAGTTTGTAAACTGCTCTAGTAAGATAAGTAAAGTACTGGAATCTTCCCTGCTGAGGAAGAGCCTTCTTCTCTAAGCAAGGAGGTTGAGGCTTCTTTTCTTGAAAACGAATTTCGTATAAAGGCTTTTAGGAGTTCTCTTTCCGAAATTGCATAAGAGAAGAAAGATCGTAGCGTGGAAAAGAAAGGGTTTTGATTCGCTCTTTATAAAAAAGAAAAAAAAAAGCTTTTTCCGGTTCTAACAGGCTAATGAGAAAGCGTCTGTTCACGTCAGGGTCCGAAGGAAATGTGGTTGCTTGTACTTGTTTTTTTGTCGAGATGGGCTTGGTGTTCAATGTACTGGGTACAAGATCGAAAAGAATGCTCTTCGGAGCTGTAATGCCCAAAAAGTCCCATGTCTTTCTTGGTTTTACCAACCCAACCGGCGATTTCGGACAAGTCTTTCTGCTTAGAGCAGAAGCGGAACTGGGAGGAAAGCCCAACTGCCACTTGAGTCCTCTCAAAGGGCCCCGGACGTAGGCACCCCGTGTCGAACCGGGTTACCAAAGTCACGATCAGCAAGGTTGAAATCCCATCTGGAAAGCGCTGGTTCAAGCCCAGCTCGTGACAAGCGAGGGATGCTCGCTAGCAGAAAAAGGAAGGGGAAAGAAGACGGTCATGATAGATTGGTAGCGGAATGAGGAAGAAATTGAGTGGGCTAGGAAGGGCAGAAAGGAAGTACTGGTTCAACCAGATAGGAGTGACGGAAAGGGACGACCGCTTCTTGATAGCACAGGAAAATTGATTTGGTTTACGATTCAATCTATTTATAACACCAGGCAAAGTCCGACATTAAATAGAGTAAATACCAGGTTAATTCACTAAAATATGGATATCAATTCCTTCTGGAACTAGGGCTATTCAAACTGCTAACTATGATTCGGATTTTCTGCCAGACTTCAGGTTCCCTCTCCGTTCTAAAAGCAAAAAAGACGGGGTCGGATAAACTTGGTCGATTTCACTCTCCCTCGTAGGCAGAAGTTGAGGAGATTGATTTGTTGAGCGAGCAGCAAACCGGATCTGAGAACTTGAGAGATGAATGGCGTAGTTCGCTTGGGAATGGGATGAGACTGGACCTGCCTTCTTTCACATGAAGGTTTATGGATGATATGGTCTTTATGTTGGCATGGTGGTGGTGGCATGGATCGGATCTGCTTTTCGGATATGGTTTGTTTAATATCTATCTCTTGTAGGGTTAGCTTCCCGTTAAGCGACTAAGGTAGTGCTCACTATCTTCGCAAGATGCGAGCAAGTTAGTAGGAACCATTTCGCATAGCCGGTCTGGTGTCGCTGCTTGAAAGCTTTCCTTTGCTGGAAGTGGCCTAAAAGTCAGCCAATTTGACCGACTTTTCTCAATGATCTTAGCTTTCCCGCACCCAAGCTAGGGACTTAAGGATTTCCTTCTGATCCTCGTTGGCTATGGGTTGGGTCACGAACCGGTCTTGGCCTTTTGCTCAGAAAGATGCCATTCCATTCCTTTTTCTGTTGATGCGGAAAAAGAAAAGAAAGCCCTGTTGCCAAATGCAGTTAGCTCAAAGGGAATGAGTGACTCAAGGGTATAAATCAACATAAAGCTTGTTTAGCTGGGACCAATAATCTTTTTTGAAGGAATGGAATAAGCGGTCTTCTTACTTCTTAGCAAGATCAACTGCTATTTCAGCTGTTTTAGAAAGGCTATAAGGGAGGAGTGCCGCTTTTTTGGTTGATGATTTCTTGATGGTTGAATGTGAAAAAGAAAAGGAAAAGTCACCCGGTAAGTAAGAAAGCAGAAAATCAAACTCACTTGAGAAACCCCTAATCTTAATAGAATGTGGCCAAGCCAGGGAAGCAAGGATCGTAAAATATCAAATTCCCACTACGCGCTAACTCGAAATTGAATAATCGAAGGCAGATGCAATATCATAAGAGAAGAGAGCTGTTAGCGTAGGGTAGATGAAAGATCTTGCGGGTTCGAAGAGTGCGTCGAGAAGTTCCATACCTTCTTGATAGAGTCAATTGCCTTCCTTCTACTTGAATCGAGATTAAGTTGGTGTTCAGTGTACCCACGGTGCGGTACAAGATCGATAAATTTCCCATGCCTTTCTTGGTTGGACCAACCCAACCGGCGATTTCCGACAAGAGCCTCCGATTATCAAGGATCCGGATTTTCCGTGCTTAGCTTCACGAATCTTGTACAAACACAACCATCTCTGGTACTCTCTGGAACTCAGTACCTGGTTCTATTAAAGTAAATAAATTGACCTCTGCCAAAGGCCAAAAGCGAAAGAATTTGTGATCCCTAGCTTTCCACTTAAACAAATGAAGTAGATCGGCCGCAGGAGAAAACTCTTCAACAACAACAACAGCCAACAATTGAAAGAAAACATTAACATTCAATGTTGTAGAAGGGGATTTGTCAATCAATGATTAGAGTTGTTGGCCTAGGGCGCGAAAGCCCGGAGGAATCTTGTGAATACCTGAAGCCCGAAATGTCAATCGAAATCATCTAGGAATTTTTCTTGGTTTGCCGTCCTCTGTCTAATAAGCGAAAGGAATCTTCCTTCCCGCGAACTCTATCCACAACATGCCATTATTTATAGTTTTCCCAGCCAATAGTTTGAAGTCAGAAACAGCACTGGATCAAATCTTAGTCGATTCCATCCATTAGATAGACTAGCCTCGGAAAAGGTAAGAGGAAGCTAGGCTTAACGCAGTCCGTCCTTAGAACTTCGTTTGCAGGGCTTACTGAATCTTAGAGTTATTTAGGGTTTGTGTCTCTGAGATTTTATAAGTGAGGCTCTTCCCTTCAATGAGTTTTCCTCTATTCTATGGACGTCGACGGTGAAATTCAGTAAATAATATTATAGGCTTTAAAGGATTTGTGCAAAGAGGCGATTGGATCACAGCTGAACCGGAAATGTCCAATCTTGCCCTCTTTGTTCGGTCTTTAAAAGGACCTAGCGACTTTAGCTATGAAAAGCAGCTCAGTAGAAAGCTTTAGCATTAGCAGGGGACGGTTGTTAGTTGGTAAACTAAAGAAGAACTAGGCTATGGCTCAACTTGAAGCAATCCCTGGCTTAGCAGGAGGAATTTCATATAGAACCCTTTAGTTTTAGTCTTCTCTAAAGGTTCTGAAAGAAGTTACGAGGGAAGGCACGAACGCTATAAAAGGGCTCTAGATATTCTCGCATTTCAGTGAACAAGATAGTTGAGACAAAACACAATTTTTCCAAAGATATTATACAGCATAAAGCAGAACAGTTAGCATGATCGAGCTCACTAATTCTCGCCAGTGGAAGGATGAGCCTGTGATGGACTATATTATATTCATTTAATATCTTTTTCATTCATATAGGAACTCCTCACTGCAAGGATCGACTATGTGTTGAGTGAACCCTTTTCTACTTCTAGAGAGATTTATTTAAAAGGCATGCATTGGGTTTGCGCGGATTCCTATAAAACCTATTTCCTAATTAGCTACCCGTGCTCATGACATGGAACTGAGACTGAGCACTGCTGAAAATGATGGTCAAGGTAGCTTGTTGTGCTCTATCAATATAACGAACTGGAGGAGAACCCCTCATGAGCTTAATGACTCGAGAAGCTAGGCCCTGCTTTTCTCTTCTTATTCACGTTAACAAGCTCTTCTTGCAGTACCTTCGCTTTCTCCTGTCCTTCTCCGGGGCATTATCTGCATCAAGCAAGCATTGGCGCATAACGGCTCAGTAGATTACCTTTCCTGTAGTTCTTGAGTTTAGGAGTTAATGATTTGCAGATAGTAGCTTCGGTCGTTCGGTCGATAGGGTAAGCGCTCATTCCGTTCTTGCTTGCTTTCCTTCTGTTATGAGAGAGAGCCGCTCTACGGCCATTTCTCTTTATACAAATGACTGTCCTTCCATTGTTAGAAAATACAGAGGAGCCGCGTGGTGAATGAAATGAATGAGTTGACGCTAAACCTCCTGCTCTTTCTTTAAGAGAGTTAAGGGCTGTCTGCATTACTGGATTAACTAGAATTTATAGTAGTAGAAACTAGGGGGCCACGTAGACTATTCAGAGGAGGTATGCTAATCAATGATCTACTGATGTAGCTAGTGCTACTGAAGCTGCTCTGCAGCTAGATAGACTATTGGCTTAACTGGCTCTAAACCCTCCTACCCGATAAAGGAATGGAATTTCAAGTAGTCGTCTACACTTAAAAGCTTTCTTGTCTTCACTGATCAGCATTTAGTTTGGCCGAGGCACCTATGTATTCTGAGGCATCAACCTACGTTGAATTGTTTTCATTCTTTGGTAGTCACAGATTTTCCCCTCTAAAGGTTAAGATTCTCATGACTACATGTCGTTTCCTTGGTCAATTTATACGAAAGTATACTAAGTTCATGATATTGTTATCAGGCATGGGTTCTCCACGAGCTGTTGATGTTTGGTTATTAAAAATGTCGACAACTTGTTGTTCCTATGCTATGTCTGTGTCTACTACAGATGATGAACAGATGCTTTCTTTCTGCCTAGGGATGAAGTAGCTGGTTCGATAGGACCAGGAAGGTTGGCTTTTAAAATGAAAATATAGGATGCAGGCAAGGAAAGGACGTTTGCCATTCCTTTTGTTTTGCTTTTAAGCAAGCTTTGTTGCTTCTTTCTTATGACTGATGTATGTTTGTTCTTAGGATGATTCCTATAGACGGGACCTATGATCAGTTAAAGCCATTAGAGCTGAGTTAGTTGTTGATTTAAGTTTAGACGTAGGACAGATAAGGTGCAAATCCTGGTTGGGCCGGTCAGACCCAATCCTATTAGAGAGGCCGATCTAGATGCCGTTCAACAAAAAGAAGTAAAATCCCCATACTCTAAAGAGTAAGCAAGTAAACTTCCTTCAATGGCAACCGCAGGGTATATTTTCACAAGAGCATTCCTCGGAGAGAGCCGCGTCCATACATCTCTTCAACTCAGCCTTGATAAAATATATAAAAAATACAATATTTAATATTTCAAAAATTTAGATAAAGACTTTTATTAAATAAATAAATCTTTTAAATAAATAGTAACTCTTTTTAGATAACATGCATTCTGTGTACAGAGTCCTTATGGCTTTCTCTTGAAAAAGAATAATCAAATCAAGCAACCTTCTTGTTACAGAACAGACATTCCATTCTTTGCAGAAAGTGACTGACCTCTCTGGTCGGATAGTCGGCTCTACTTCTTAATAAACTAGTAGTCTTTAAGTCGGAAATCGCTTTCACATCTCATATGACATCTGTACCAACAGACTTCTTCGTCTTAAGGTAAGTCGCTACTCCAGCCGATCTAACTCCAGAGGATCCAGCTTAAAATAAGGATAGATTAGCCCCTTCTCCTTCAGGGGCAAGACTACGTTCTCATCGGAGTTCCACTTCTTCCTCAATCCACTCTAAGAAAAAGGCAAGTACAGCTACTCTACTTTAGAGTCGATCCAGCTTTCGCTTCCTTACTTCCCTCGGGGTCTCAACCAAGTAGGGTATGTGGTCCTAAAACAATTATCATTGCCTCTCTTTTCTCCTTGGGAACTAGACTCGGGAACTAAGTCCAAATGGTAGGTTTCAAATCTTTCTCCCCTTGCTGACTCTTTATCTTCAGCTTCAATTACAGAGCATTCTGCTTCCTGAGAAATTCTTTGATTCGTTCGAGCAAGGCTTGTGTGCGAGCTTCCGATGGCGATTTAGAATATGATACGGAGCCTAAGGGATTGGCTTTCCTAGTCCTAACATAATACCTAAAAGTCGAGCTGTGTCAGTTCAAAAAGACCTGTTCCTGTGGTCGAGGTTGCCAGTGCCAATGCGCCTCTGCTTGCAAACAAACGGATGGCTCGCTCTTTCCGCTCGCAGGTTCCGATTCCAATAGTGATTCTTCTAGCCTTCCTTTCGATTGATTGGCTAAGGGACAAAAGAAGCTTAGTTAACAGAGACCGGAGGACCAGAAGAGGTTATTAAAGGTACAGTGGAAGGCTCGCAAGCGAATGAAACGAAGGCCCCCCAAAGCAAAAGTGGGCAGAACCATCGGAGGCCTGTGACATACAATTCTCTGGGCCCAGAAAGCGAAAACGGTGCAAGAGAAAGACCTGTTCGATACAAGCCAAGCCCACTCCTGTTGAAGAACTGGCCCAGCCCAGAGAGGCCCATTTCCAAATCTGCCCATCATTGCCTCTATGGAACCACAGGTGGCACCACCCCCCATGAATTTAATGACCGAATCGACTTCCTCAAATGATCCCTTTTTAGTACCAATGGCTGCAGTCCCCCTCCGCATGATACCACCTGATGCCGAGCCAGAAGAAGTCATAAGCCCAACTAGCTATCTGAACTTGGACAAGGGCTATTGGGGCAGCTTGGACGATGCTGGGTGCCACACCATCGGAAGCCTGTTCGACAACTGATGACGTGTCAAGACAAGGGACCCACGTTCTGATGGAAGATTCTGTTAAGGTCATTTTGTACAAAAATAAAACCTCAAGGGTTATGTGTGTAATATTCCCAGATACTGGGATAATTACACACTTTAGGCATCAGGACTTTATTTTTTTACAAGAAGGACCCGAAGATTAGGCTATGGGACAAAGTGGTCCTTGTACTTCTTTTGCTAGTCTTCCCACCTGTTCTCGAGCGCTTCCCATTCAGCGTCTGAGAGATTTGCAAAGTATGCTCTAGTAGCTTCAGCATCCTTCTGCTCCTCAAGTTTTTTGACCTCTTCAGGAGTCAGATATGAAAAGTGCTTCTCTTTATGGTCTGAGAGTGGCCTTAATAGATTTTTTGGCTCCTTTGGTGAGAAGAGAGTCGTAGGCCAAAGATCTTGAGAGCTGTTGAGGTCCACAGCTTGTAGACTGAGTTGGGCCAGTTCACCTTCCATTGGGTCACAAGACCAGGGGTCCTGTCCTCCAATTAGGGTGGTTGGATCAGTAGGATTTTCGGACTGTCCTGATGGGGCTTGAGTGCACCTGGTCTTACTATCCTGGTGTCTTGTTTTCCCACCATCGTTGCATCCGAACTGCTCCAGCCTTTTCTCTTCTACGCTTCTGGCTGCGGGAGAGACTGACTTTTTTACCTCTGGGGGAACCTTTTCATACCAGGTATAGAGTTGCTTGTTGACCTTGGCGATGTAGTTTGTGGAATAAAGTTCCCAAGGGACATCATCTGTCGGGCTTGGCCAGAGGCTCCTGGGAATGGTCTGGTTGACTTCACAGAGATGTTTTTCCAGAAGCCGAAGATCCTCCTTATGGTTGCTAATGTTAGCAAATAAGTCATAATGGAAAGACCTGTAAAGCTTTGCTTCAGGAAAATAGAAGAAAGTGTCGGATTCTCCCTTGAATATTGGACGCTTAAAAGTGAGGATGACAAAAGGCTCAGTGTGTTGTTGGTTGAAATAACCTTCCTTACCTGGTTCCGTACCATTCCTGAATGGATTTCCTTTCTCAAGAGTTTTTCCAAATCTGACTTCAAAATGAGTAGAAAGAAGAAAGCCCCGTGCTTTGTCACAGGGCTGGTAAGGAAGAACAATACGACAGAACAATCTCCTTACCAAAGAAGCGCTAGCGTATAGCGCGCTGCGAGGATTGCGCTATGACACCTGTCCTTACCTGGGAGTACTGCTTCTTTAGCAAAGCTAACGATAGGTCAGACAGGTCTGGGATCATCTTTCTTCTCATAGGCTGGAGCAAACCTTGCGTTGCGTTTATTATGGCCATGACCAGCTAAAGAGCACTGTCATCTCACGAATCCCGTTCGTTCCTTTCTGTACTAACTGCTCCTTTTCTCTCAGTTCAAGTCCAGGTCTTGTCTCAATAGAAGAGAAGGGGACACCTAAGAAAGTATATGGCTATCAGTTCATTCCCCCTACTCGGACATTCATCCTTAGGTCAATCAGTCCAGTCCCTCGCTTCTCATTGTAGAGGTGAAGGTCGGGAATCTTCATATGGACTTGAAGCTCCGTAGCCTATTGGCAAAGTGCCCTTCCATCTCATCTCATTATTATACTAGAGAGGTTAGGCTCCTTCTCTATTTCCCAATCGCTGCTATTGTCTCCTATCCCTCTGGACGAGCTCAAACTCTTTCTTTTTATCGACTATCAGACCTAATTGGGCATAGCCGAGGTGCACTATCTACGGTTGAAACTTCTCACAAAACTCTTTCTGTCTTCCAACAGCCAAAGAGAATCGTAGGCTACCGGGGAACGGCTGTCAAACAGCACTTTTGGACGGTTGATCAACTCAATGACCGCGTAAAGATAAGGAAAGAGCTTGACATCGTCCCCTGTCAATGAACATCTTACGTCGTACCGGTTACCGGCTTCGCGAGACCGGAGAGTACTAAACTGATAGAAGACTCCCACTTGTGGAGAAATTTTTATGACCTTTGGCTTTGTCACGAACTGGACTCGAACCAGCCTCTCCAGATGCGGGTCTGGAAAACAACCTTTCTGATCGTGACTTTAGTTACCCGGTTCGTCCTCGACAAAAGCAAGACTAATGAAGACTACATCCGGGGGGAGAAGGGGTTCTTCTCCCAAAGGCCGTCGGGCCGACGACAACCCGCGGCAACCATACCAAGACCTAACGAGAGATTTCTCTCTCTCCCTCCCTTTTTGGCGCCAAAACCCTGTCAGCCCGGGCAGGATGCACAGAGGTGTGTCCCGGCAAATATGCAATTATAATAAAATACCATTGGCGGCCTACCCGCTTTCCTTTCGGTCAGCCTCAACCGCGTTAGGGGACTTTCTCTTCTTTATAAAAAAGAAAAGAACCATTCCTTAGACCTACAACAATCTCGTTCAATCCATAAACACGTGCAGCAATAACTGAAAGCAATTGTAGCAGTTGCGAAACCCATTGATTTTGCACCTTCTAACATCTCGGGTTGAGAATTCTCGTCACGCTTTTTGATTCACAATGTGTCTGTCGGTTAGGGCAGGGGCAGGAATACAACGAAGATATCATGTTTTTACACATGCCTTCTCTGCTCCCAGTTGGGTATCTCCGAGGACTTGAGCTAAGGGGTTGTTTACTGAACAATAGATAGAGCAGCTTGTCAAGCAAATCGGCCGTCTAACTCGAAGTTCTCTCTTGTTTTTATAAGCTTTTTAAAAAAGAAAGAGTTTTGGCCCTCGGTCGTTAATTTCTCAAGGTTCTTTTCCAGTGTTTCCATTGTATACTCTGCTTGTTTATTTAAGATTCCATGAGCGACCAACTTTTCCTTTTGCTCAGCCCAGAATGGATGGGGGTCCAATTGGGCCATGCGATCGAGAATGTCTTCTTTTAAACAAATGATCGCGTCTACTTGGTCGTCGTCTACTTCTCTTTGTGGAGTAAAAGTCTCCAGGCGATTCTTTATTCTTTGATGTTGAAAGTCCCGCAAGGGAACCTCCTGTGGAGCGGGATCAGCTGGTGCTTGCTCGACGACCAGGGGCGGTTGATTATCCTGACCAGGGGTTGGAGCCGACGGGGAAACTTCATTCCATAGATCCGTTTGAGAAATGGAATGAGGAGGGGTCATCTGCTGTACTTCTTCCCCAGGCTCCGGGGTCTGGGTAGCGTCCGAAAGTCCTTTGAAAAAAGAGGACGACGGGGTAGAGGCTGTGCCTGCCAGATGAGGACGGTGTGTGCCCTCCGAGGCAGGATTGGCAGCAGGTTGACCTCCTGCGGGATCCTGCATGTGCAAGCTGGAACCTACTACCGAACCGACGATAGAAAGAAGAACGAAAATGGGAATCTGCAAACCAAAGAGCCGAAAAATAGCACGTAACCCGTGGAGGAAAAAAGAACCTTTTAGTTTAAGAAGAAATAGGTCGGGATTCAAACCAATCAAATCAAAAAAGAGATAGGCCGAGAACATAACCGGTGACAGGATAATGAAAGAAATGATTAAGTGGCGCAATGAAGACTTAAGATGAGGAGATAATGGGCGAAGCATATTCAAAATGAATTTGGTTTATTCTTTCTGCTCTCCCCAAAAATGAGGAAGACTTTTGACCAGGCTGCTTGTTTTACCCAACCGGCGATTTCCGACAAGTCTTTTTGTGAGCAAGAAGCGGGGAGGAAAGCCCAACTGCCACTTTGGAAAAATTCCTCCTTATTTATGCAATTTCGGAAAGAGAACTCCTAAAAGCAAGCTTGATCTCGATACCATTCTATTATCAGGCTAAGGCCTTTCGGTTTCCCTATCTAAGTTATTGACTCACGGAACACTTACTATATTATATTTATTGCAAGAGACGATTCAATCTGTTGACTTCACTCCGCCTACCCGCTCTTAGAGTTCTCCTTGCCGCTGCAAGAGTTTCCGGTCAACCTCTTGCCGCTCTTACCCCTGCCCCCAGGGAATGAAAGACCAATGTCATCCCCTTCCCCTGCTTAGAAGTTAAGTTCCTATTGAGGAGGATCTTCCATTTTCATCTCAGATGGACATGAAATCGGAAGTGAGATTTCCATTATTATTATATGTCATTAGCTTTCCTTATCTCAGACTAGGGATATGATATGATTCATGGGACAGCCAGAAAGAAATCCCCTCTTCCCCGGAAACAGGAAAGATTGGCTTCATTCTATTCCCAAGAGCATAGGCCGATCATGAGCCGATTTCCGATTCTAGAGATCCATTTTCTCTCATGGGACATAAAGAAGATGTGAATTAGAAGCATCCGAGGTAGGAAACAAAAAGAGGCCTGCCCTCCAAGCAAGCAACTCATTTTGAGAGATAAGCAGATATTGGATTAGATGGCTTGGGGGGTGTGGGAAAGAAAGCAATGCATTCAATCCTGTTCTCACCAGCCTGTGCTGGGAGTACGCTTCATTAGGATTCTAAATCAGCTCTCCCTCCTTCACCTAAGGCAGTTAAGGCAGACTCTCTTGAAGAAAGGGTAACCCTCTTGCCAAGCTCAAACGCTAAGCCCGGAGATGCCGTATGCTAAGATGCTTTGACCAGTCATTCCGAATCTTTTGGTAAAAAATAGGGATATGAAAAGCAATCCACCCCGTGACTAATGCTAGGGGATTAGATTCCTCTCTAGATCTTCCTTCCTAAAAGCAGCCTTGATCTTATTATACGATTACGATACCCACCAAATCAGAGTAGGCAAGGGAAAAGTTCTCAATTGGTTCAAATCGTCCAAGTTTCATTTTCCCCGTATTTTCGGCATCAACCCAGGCGACCAAGGTACTACGTGCTCGACCCCCTCTACGCTTTTTAGGGCTACGGGTGGAGAAGATAAATGAATTGGTTTTGTCACTTGATCACCTCTCCTGCCAGTAGCTTCTTTCCTTTATATAAACGTGTAACCATATCCTTGAAGGCAGGAGAGAATGTCATCAATAAAAAAAGAAAAGATAGGCCAGCCGGGAAAGCAGAGGATAGAAGTTGTACTCTTGTCGCGAAACCTCATTCCCAGACGACTTTCACGCTACAACTTCGAGACCAGACCTTCGAAAGACTCTCTTTAAGGATTTTTTTAGAATGCCCAGCAGTAGCAAGAGACTTTATTTAAATTGAAGAGCTGCTCTCTCACTGTCGGGTGTTAGTTCCTATTGTATCGTCCTTATGCCTTGTGGCTTCTGGTTGAAAGACCTATATCCAGAAAGGGAATCTTTGAATGCAGATACCAAAAACAAATTGGAACAGTTCCGCCACCCCCAGCTTGAGAATCAACCTTGTAATCCGAATGTCCGATTGACTGCCACTAATTGGTGTTAGGATCCGAAGGTATCTGCCCTTATTCATTCCACGAATGTAAGACTGAGTAAATTGTTGCTATGTTTTCGAGACTGTGCAGTAGTTTCCCTTCCAGGTCTTGAGACAGATAGGGATAGGGAATTGCCTTGAATGGATCTCCACCCTGGTTAGTAGTTCTAATGGACTATCCAATTTGACAGTTAGAAAGTAGCCCCTCTAACGATGAGAAGCTAGAAGAAGTTCTAAGACATCGTCTCATCCCTTACCCAGGAAGCCCCGCAGGGATTGCCTGAAGCTGAAAACCTTACGTTGACTGACACTTTCTTTCTATACACAAGTCATTCCATTCTAGTTCCAGGAGAGGAGAAGAGGAAGAATCAAGGCATTCAGTCTTTCCAAGCTCAGTGCTAAGGGCATAGAAAGGTTCGTACGGATAGATTCCATCAACGGAAATTTATCAATGGATGGGAGAAAGAAGGTCTCTGCCAGGGTTAAGTGCCACATTAAAGGAAGGCTCAAAGCCAGGCTTTAGGAAAGATTCACTACGTATCACTATGAATATTCAGACGCACCTGCAGCGGAGCAGTTAAGTGAGTGTCTGGCAAAGAGCTTTCTTCGCGTATAACAAGAGGTGATGCAGCTAGGAAGTTAACGAGTGAACATCTTTCCGAACAAGGGAGACTGGAATGCTTACAACCCTTATAGGTAAGGGAGCAGCTAGACTTTCAAGTATCAAGTTGCTAGATCAGATAAAGAAATCAAAGCATAATTCAAAGCTTGTTGTTTGCCTGACCCGGGAGCTTCTTTAGAAGGATCGGACAAGTGCCCGACGGGAGGCTTTGGACCGGGCGCATCCTGCCTGATCTCCCTTGGCTCCATTCTTTAGCAGTCAAAGGCTTTCTGGAATGTTGTTGGAGTCGTCCGTTGCAAGATTCTTTTTTCGCTTGTTCGGTTGGTCCAATTAGAGAAAAAATATCAAACTTTAAGCCAGCCGCTCATTTGTGTTAGCCCGAGCGCGGACCTACCCCCTTTTTTTGCACGGACGGAGCATCTGAATTTCATCAAAAGCGGCGAATAGCTCGAGGGCTTTTTTTGTGTAGGGCTGCTGCTTTGCATCTATTGCCGGACACTCGGCGGTGACCTGTCTCACTATATTATTCTATTTTTTTATAATTACTCTTCTTTGCATGGATGGATTAGAGACTCCTTGCCGCGCTGCTAGTTTGACTCTCAGAAGCAGGGCTTCGTACCTAGCTACGTTGTTCGTTCGTGCATAAGAAATTAAGCCGGTATGAGTGGGGAGAGCCTAGACCACTAGGAGGGAACAGGACCCGCGCCCTCTCCGCGCGGTTTACTTGAAGTGCTTTCTTAGTTAGACAAGAGCATTCATTATGAAACTCTTTCTTCAGGAACGCCCACTTAGAGGTTTCCGAACGGTACGAAAGAGTTGGAGAGCCTGTTGACGGTGACTTTGATTGCTATTCCCGCTCCAGTGGAGATTGCTTGCTTTCTCGATAGAAGTCTTGGTATTGGATCCGTTATGTTCTTCTGTTAGCGTGAATTCTTTCCATTCTTTATCTGACTATCCTACAAAAAAAAACATTCAATAGGGTGGTTTTATCGGTGAAAGGTCAACTGGGCAATCAAAGCTCCAACTGTCACTGATGCCCGAGGGTATGCATTTTTATTTAGGACCGGTAGCAGGCGGGATGCTGCCTCTGCATCAACCTATGATTCTGTGGGTACCTTCCCCCTTTGTGTCTCTTGCTCATCTTGCTCGCGTCTCTGCGGGATCGACCTCAACAGCAGGAACTGGAACGTATTATTCAACCTGATCGATTTGTCTGTCCCAAACGTGTGCTTCCACAGAGTATAGAAAAACCCGGGCTAGCTATGGAACAGGCTTGTGAACTAGGGACCCCGTTTCGGGATCTTCATCGACTGGATAAAGAATTGAAACTGAAAGAGTCTTTCGCTCATGCATCTCCTTCGGCTTTTGCTAAAATCTGTTCCTTCCATTAGTAAAGTCCTTTCTTCAAGACTTTTGCCTGCGGATCTCTTTCTTCAAAACATATCCTTCGGCGCCAGTCTTTCCTGCCTTACCTTAAGCCCGCTTTCACGCGGCTTGAAGTTTCTGTGATCACTTTACGGCATTCTTTAAGCCTTCTTGGTCACCGGACAGAGTGAAAACTGCTCAGCTTGCTTGCTTTCTGGGGAGAGGTTGAAATCCTGGCTAACTAAGAGAGATAGAGATAAGGCCTTCCTGGCTTCTCTCTTTCGCCTTCTCAATGCATTGCTTGGGTCTTCATTGGGCACTAGTTGCGCACTAGCTCTTCGGTGTAGTGTAAAGTGATTGAGTCTTTCGGAGGTGTGGCTAGCTTTGGGTCAGCTGTAAACTCTTGTTCAAGGAGTGATGGAAAAGCAATGAATTCATTTCACAGGCAAAAGGCCAAGGCGAGAAAGACCCAGCGCAAGGGTTAATGCTCTTTTTGAGTGGATGGATCCGTTTTAGATTAAGAAGAAGAAGTTGTCGCAATTGAATCAGAGTACGGAGGTGCGGCAGGTGGTATCGTATAATAAGATCACGGCTGCATAACATTTGAGAGTTCTCTTTCCGAAATTGCATAAGAGAAGAAAGGTCGGTTGGAAAGTAGTACGCCCGGTTCACCAGGTTCTACCACTGCAGGGCCCAAAGATTCTCCACTAGGAATGTGGATTCTGTTCAATATGAGTTTAATCCTGAAGCGTGACGAGAAAAATTCTCAACAACCCGAGATGTTAGAAGGAGCAAAATCAATAGGTGCCGGAGCTGCTACAATTGCTTCAGCGGGCGCTGCTGTCGGTATTGGAAACGTATTCAGTTCTCTGATTCATTCCGTGGCGCGAAATCCATCATTGGCTAAACAATTATTTGGTTATGCCATTTTGGGCTTTGCTTTAACGGAAGCTATTGCTTTATTTGCTCTAATGATGGCCTTTTTAATCTTGTTCGTTTTTTGATTTAAGTTATTATAATGCGTTTATCTTTGATCACATACGAAAGGAATGTTGGCTGATCTTTCTTTGGTCGGATGGAATCTTTTCCTTATTCGGTCGGTCGGAATCTTATCTCGGATCGAAGAAAGAAAGTTTCAGTCTCTGCTAGTCCCCGAAAATGCTCGTTCCCTTTCTTTTGTGGTTTTCTCTTTGTTTTGTGGTTGGGGATAACAATCTTCCTTTTTCGAGGAGAGAGGACGTAACAAGGTAGCCAACAGGAGAGTGGGGGAGTACCGAAGAATAGAATGCCCTGGAAGCTTCTCATTGGTTCTTGAAGAAGACTGCCAACCGACCTTGAAGGTCGGAGAATGTGGTCACATGCTCATTTAGCCGACGTTCTAGAATATCCTAGTTACCATGCATTCTTATCCATTTTGTTAACCGACTTAGTAAAGAAATCTTTTAAAAAAACTCCACTGCCTATAAAGACTAGTCTCAGGTTCCAAGTCTATGTGTGTTTAGAAGTGATGTGTGTGCAAGTGTGAGAGCACGAGTGAGTCAGGCAAGTCTGTTCATCTTGTGTGCACTTTTGTGTGAGTGACGTGAGTGTGAGCTTGTAAGTGCATATTAGCATTGTGTACTGGATTGACTGAGAGACGAGGTCAAGGTCTCAGACTATTTGAACTATTCTAGCTCTCCTAACCAAAAAAGGGAGCGGATCCTCGCATGCATCTTGGTATCCTCTTTATAGCACCCTACAAAAAGCAGAGTGAGGTAACCATACTCTCTCGGATCGGAAAGAGCGTCAACCCATGCATTACCCCCTTCATTGATAAAAAAAGACCCCCTCCTTAAGGGATACAACTATAGTAGGTGTATTCTATCTGCTCTAAAAGTTACGAAAGAGATTGAGAAACCACGGCCAAAAGGTGCTTTCGCGCGAGCGTAAGCCGGTCAACGTTGGCTAAAATCCAGGATCAACTAAGAAAAGTCAAATCCTGTCTTTCGAAAATAGACTTTTGGTTTGTGTGCCACGTGCTAAGAAGGCTCCGACTTATCCTTGTCGTTCTAGTGCGGGTTTGAGCTCATATTCTTTCATTTATCAATAGGACACGTTCGGTCCCTTTCCGCTTCATTGCCTTTCTCAACTCAACTCTCGTGGCACTGGCCGTAACATCAAGATCTGAAACTGAACTGATACGCAAAACTAAATGAAGCACAAAAGGCACTAGCACTAAACTGCTTTGCTTGCATGGAAGGCAATTGCCTTATATAATCATATCATGAATGCTGACAGAGATAATGGACTTGATTCACCTTTGCCTATACCTGCATGTAGCGGGAATGGAAGATGCCAGTCCCCCTGCTAACGTACCCTTTGTAAAGGTGCGATTCAATCAATAGCTAGCTTCCGGCTAGTTCTCAATCCAGTTGGGAGATTAGGAATTAGGAGAAAAGTAGGCTCTATTACTTATGGGGGTACCCTCTTTCCGGTCAGATAGTCTTTCATATCAAAGTGGGGACAGTTTTCTTCGTTATCACGCTTGTTGTCTGTGCCTACGTCCCGCAATCCTGTTCGAAAGAAAGCCTCTTTATTTTCTTTCAGCCCGCCAGGAAGTTAAAAAGCGAGGGAAGGGTGTGCTAGCCAAGACGAGTCTCCACTGTTAGCAATTTCTTTTATTCCCGGATTCTACTTATTGCAAGAGATAGTTGTTAGGACGAGACAAAGCGTCTTTGGTAGTCTGTCAAGCCACTTCCCCTATACGCCAAGCCCCTATGAACAATGTCCATGTTCCATCGGAAGTCGAGTTTCTTCGCTCCAGCTCCAGTAGCTGTGGTAGGGCTTCAGCCACTCAAGTGAATAGGAAGAGGAGAAAAGGCAGGATTGGATTACATTGAACTCGAATCCCTTCTTTAAAAGAGTGTATTCCCTTTACTTAAGAGCTAACGGTGCGGTGCTGGGAAGCGAAGAAAGAACGTAAGCACGCCATCCAATACCTATTCTGCCCTCGAAAACACTTATTCAAGGCGCCTATTCAATACCTATGAGAAGCCCGATACATACCTATAGCATCTAAAAGGAATAACACTAGGTAATCTTCCTCAGAACGGGAATGCTATACCCTACCAAGTAAAGCAACTCCAACTGTCACTGCAACTGGCTCGCAAACTCTTCCTGCTTAGGGATACAACCTATGGAAACTCCCAATGGCTGACAAACCATTGCTAGAGTATGCCCTTGGCCCAGTTGAGCAAGCTAAATGGTGTTTGCCTATTGCATCTTACTGGGGCGAGGACAATCAATGGAAGTGGGAGGAGTTCCCCTCTATCCTTCCCTTCCTTATGAAGTGGTGCAAAAAAGTTCAGCTGTTCACGTTATTAAGAAGAACGATGTTGAAGATACAATTCATCTAGTGGGCCGTTCTCGGTGACGGGTATGACCTTTTCTTCTGCAATGTATTAGGTATTTCAACAAAAGATGAAGGCGGTAAGCTACATGCTGTCTAAACTCGGAAGGAAGTCCATCTTCGTTAAGCTGCACTCGTAGGGTTAGTAGCTCAGATCTGGTAGTGGTATGTACGTACTAGGTCTAAGCGGTAAGTTGGAATTGAGTTTAGAAAAGAAAAGTTCTTTTCAGCCAAAGCTAGCCTTTTTTTCCCATCTGTCTATTAGTGAAAGCTCCTGGCATTTTGTAGACGTGGTTCGGTTATTCCTATTTGTTTCTATCGGCCTTTCTAATCTTTTTTTTTTTACTAGGGACCTTTTTTGAGTTTGACTTGAAGCTTCGAAAACGAATTTCGTATAAAGAGAGAGCTTGCTTTTTAGGAGTGATCTCTCTCCCTAACTATCTAACTCTTTAGATAGATGAAAAAGAATTCGATGTACCTATTTTGATTCTAGATTCGGTTGGTGTTCAGTGGTCCATGTAGGTGCAAAGTCATTTAGGTTCCATTCCCATGCTTTCCGTTGGTCAACAACTAACCACAGCTCTTTATAGTTATAGTTCTTCACAACTCGTGAAGGAAAGGAATATCGTTCCGTTCATAAAGCGTATGACCAGCATCTATTTGAGTCGATCATTTCCAAGATCTAATTCAAGTTTTTTCTTATGTAGTGGAAACGCCTTACAATCTGAAGTTTTACGCTTAAGGGAAGATAAGTTCTTGTTGGATGTTGGAATTGAGAGTCCCAAAATTTGTATGCAAGATGAGCCTACAGGAGTGCCAATCAACCGAACCGCCAGGTTTGAGAATAAGGTGGAATCACTAAATACCCGTGAATCACTGATCAAAAAGCGGATTTTGGAGAGATCCTTCATCGATATAGTTTCCGGTCAGAAAAAAGAGAGAGCAGCCGCCAGGTTTAAAGAGATGGTCAGCTGGAAAGATAAGGTCAGGAAAAAGGTGGGAGCAACAGATGTAGTGGGTGGTGAAAGGCTTTTTCTTCTTCCACGAAGATTCAGAAAAAACCGAGCTTGGATGGAACTGAACAAGATTTTGCGAACGAAGAAAAAGGTCAAAGGCTTTATTTATAAGAGGAGGAGGAAAGGGTATCTTGTAGCCATCGCAGGCTATTTTGGTTTTATACCTTTTCGCCCTTTCAAAAAAAAGGTAAAAAAAAATGAAAAAGATCAATTCACTATTAAGAAATATAACCCCAAATTTAGTAATTTTGTGGTGTTCTAACAGCGGCAGATCAAAGAAGAACTTGATGAGCGAAAGAGAGGAGTTCGAACGAAGTGAGAGGAGCCACTCGACTGTAAGGAGTGGAGCGTAGCAGCTCGAATGAAGTGAAGTGATAGGAAGAGAATACTGCAGGCGGGAGATCTCTCTCCATCCGCCCGCCAGCAGCAGAGGGGTTCGATTCCCGTTATACGCGATGTGGCGAAAAAACGTATATTTTTTATTGATAGAAAAAAATGTCTCTACCATTACATCTTTTTTTTTTTCTCCGCCCAGAAATTTTTTATTCTTTCGAATACCAGTAATTCGACGACTCCCATTTCAAATCCAAATTATTTTGTATGTAGTGG